CCTTTTCAAGCCATTATATCCTATTCCACATTTCTGACCAGAAATTTTGACCCTAATGTGGTACGGAGTGTTCTTCTTCAAGGACGGTGTAGAGTTAAACAGAACTTCAAATCCATGATAACTAAAATTTTGGCATTCAAATATCTTTGAAGGATGAGTTGAACTTTCCATTTTCACCAAAAGTACTGATGGATACACACCGTTACCCCAATGTGGGTTGCCTTGGTGTAACTGTAATGTATCTAAGTTGTATAACTTGTTCTCACCGCCAAATAACCGCACTCCATTTAAGATTATGTCTTTGTCCACTTGAAATTCAATAACATCCCCCTTGCCGTTACAATCCCAAAAACATTTTTTCATCAGGTTAAACCTTCCACAACGGTGAATGAATTCAGCTCGTCTTCGAGTCTCTGAAAACCCTAAAGGTGGAGAGATCTCTTGTGAACTAAAAAACTTAAAAAAGGTGACGATTTCATCCGGAGTAAGAATCTTTGCATCAAGAACGACACCAGCAAACTCCTCTTGCTTCATCACTGCATAGCGTATTGCTTTAATAATTTCCTCGCCAAGAACTCTTCTTTTTAGTTCACCATCAGTTGCTAAGCCCTGCTTTCTGCATTGCTTAATTGCCCACCGATCACAAGCTTTAAACAGCTCGACTTCTTTGATCTGCAGCGTTTCTCGTTGGACCAAAGCTTCAAGTAAGGCCTTCTCAATCGTCTGAAATCCATCTGATTTCAAAGCCTGTTCAGTCTGCCTATCGATTACCTTCCAACATCGATCAACAAGGTTCTTCTCTTCATATTTCTGGGCAGTTGGCAAGATGGTGAAAACGTTCGAAGGATCCAATTTATCTTGCAGATAATCCTTGCACTTATCAGCAAGGGAAGGAACAATGTACTTCTTGGCCAAATAGAGTACCCCCAGTACATTACTTCCGTTTAAGTTTACTTCATCGCTGTACAGGTAACGAAACAACTCCAACAAACTCTCGTAATCACAGTCAGGCAGTTGAATAGTGTCTTTAGTCTCCGCTAGCTCACCGTAAAACATGGCTTCAAATACAGGACTACCAATGGAAAGCACAAACTTGTGAGCAGTGATCAATCGATCAGTTTCACTTTCGCCGCCGTCGCTTCCTCGAACAACGAACTTCACATCGCTCAAGTGTTCATTATTGAACATAAATTTGGTTCTCTCTCTGACGGTGGATCTTGTTGTTTGCCAGTTACTTTGAACAGCCATGATCGCTCTACGCAGTGACACTTGTGGACAACGATACGTTCAGTGTTTAATCGGTAGCAAATTATTTCTTTTCTATGCCTTAAGACGACGCCCGCTTTAGTACAAATGTTAGTAAGTTGGTCTATAGAAGTCACGCGATTCCACAAGACGTCACTATGTTGCTCGGCTGTGTATAAAACTGGGACGGGGACAAGGAGACGGGGCAGGAGCCGGACGGGAACATTGGGACGCGTGTGTAGGGACTTGTGACTCGGGGACATCAAGTATGGGACGCGGGGACGTGTGGGACGGGGACGTAGGACGTCAAATACAGGGACGCAGGGGACGCGGGGACGTTAATGAATATTGCAAAAGTCGGAGGTAAATGTGATATCTCTGTGTTATTTATGGTCAACATGTTTGCACAAAATATTTCCTGGTACAGGAGTAAGCGCATTAACTATCGTGATTAGGGTTAGGGTTGATTTCCAGTGTCGCGTAATTTTTCCGTACGTACGTACGTAAAATTTACCTTCGCAAATAAAATAGAGGCAATGTATGAAAGGTCGCACCTAGGCGTAAAAGTAGAACCTCGCTCAACTTCACGTTTAATGTCGACTCTTTATATCTTTCCTCTGTTTTATTTACGTGATTAAGTTTGCCACTAAAAATATGTAAAACAAACTAAATATTGTTACAATTATTATAGTTGAACCCCCCGTGGTGTAGTGGTATAGGCGATGGATTTCGGAGCCAACACTTCGGGGTTCTTAGTTTCCTTTTTTTTTATTTGGAATCGAATGGCGACCGCAACTCACCCTACCCTGCTTAGGGCTCCAATATTCCATCAGCAGGAAGACCAGAGGGTCTCAATGGGGTTAACCGATAGCTGTAAAACGGCCAAAAATTTAGTCGATAGCCGTAAAAATTGAAAAATTTTAACCGTTAGCCGTAATAGAGTAAAAAAGAGTTAACCGTAAAAGAAATTGTTCCCTAGATTTGCCACTTTCCCGGCCAGTGTGACTCCGTACGTACGTTAGGCGAAGCGCCTTTTAGGTGTTGACCAAGACCTAGGCTCCATTTCCTCCACTCTCTCGGGGAGCTAATTTTTTCCATAGCGAAAGTGTGGCTTCTTGCTGGGGATTAATATTTGCTATTTTCAGGAGGTTGTGCCCTCAAAACACTAGTGAAACAACACGCAGAGATGTCACTGTTTGTAAAACACGTTGCCGATAAACAACATTTCCCTGTTTTTCTCTGACGCTACAGTAGACATTGCCGTCCCTGTACGGCGTCTTCCCACGCAATCTCGGTCAAGGCATTTCGGTGGCGAACTCGCTAGGACCACGTGACCCGAAACGCATTACCCGCGCGNACAATTGCAAAACTCAACAAAATGCCACTTTAACCGGCCAGGAAAGACAAGGATACGTTCAGTTAAAGGTATCTTGGCTTTGTTTTGTTATATTTTGACTTTTGGACTATTTTAGTTCATGGGAGTTTCGACGACTCATCGCATTAATTTGTCCATGTGAATATTACTATATTCATTCAGCGACACATACTACGTCTGGGCCGCCTGTGGTTTACTTCTGAAGTCGTTTCGCTACGTGTTGGGTCAGTTCCGAGAACTTCTTTCGCTTGATCAATGTTTAAAAGAACAAGGTATATACATGTGTATCACTTTTTTTGTATCATGGCTGAGAGAACGAAGCCGAGTATACATGCGCGATATGCGCAGCGCTCGTTTTGGTTCTTAGCAGAACGACAGTGTAAGATGTTTACGAACGGGACGTTGGCGAAACGACCAGTTACCGGCCTGAGAAAGAGGTTAATTTTTCCCTCCTCCCCCGCGTGCTTATGTTTCTTGCTATTTTTCTTGCTCAGTTATTGGAATACCTAGCGGGAGCCTCTGTGGAGTAGAGTGGGGAGAGAGGTTCAACACAGAATTTTTTTTCTACCACCGTGAAAAGATTCATTGGCTGACGTTTCACAAGCGCTCCACTTTGAACAAAGGTTAGGAATTGAAACGCCATTATCCTTTGGCAAATTTATGGGATGCCCATAGCAAACCTTTCTTGATGCACTAAAGAGGGAAAAGTTAATATTCAATTTCCTGTTCGCAACATGCACAATTCAGACTTATAGAATGAAGATGATGAAGTTTTCCCGAAACCCTCATGTCAGCACCAAGGATGCATGAGACTGTAATAAGTAAGGGACAGATGAACGACATTGAAAAAAGTGACCATTTCAGTACGTGATATTTAAAATTACTATTTTAGATAGTTTTTTATCGATTTCGAACATTTTAAAATGCTTTTTTTAAAACTCAGTTCCTAAAACGCAGAGTGGAGATGCAGAGATCTACAATGAGGTTTACCATGAGCTAAAATCAATAGCGCACAATGAGCCAAAATAAAATAAATTTGCAGCTCTAAGGACAGGAATGTTAAGGGAACTTTAATAATAAGATAAAGACAAGAGAAGGTCAGGGTGAAAAGTTTGTTGAGCCCCCCGTAAACTAATTACTACATTAACTATTTATTCTCTGAGTATATATAAACTTGTTCTTCTTTAACTGAAACATTTAGGCATTGTTTGTGCATTTGACATGTCAACATCGAAAATTCTAACTATATGAAAACAAGACGCCTTTACGCATAAAAATGTAAACGACAACAATTCGAGTCCAATTCATACTTAACAGAGCGATTTATTTTTGTTAAGTTATTTTCATGTAAATTACACATTTCTGAAATAACGTACAAAATGTAGAAGGAAAAGACCCGAAAGAAAACGTAAAATTCGCAAAATGATGATGGATTGGAAATAGGGCCTTCAACATTAAAAGAAATCCACGATTCTAACATGGAATGTTAGGCCACAGTCATACGTCAAACTTAGGGAGCTGAGGTAAAGACGTTTTCAAGCGAGGCACATCAACCGGAAGTGGACTTTTTGTATTCTTGGGCAGTGGTTTTGACAAAATTTTCGGGCAAATCGTGTTTGTAGGAGTAAAGACACTTAGCAATAAAAATGTGGTAGAGTCAAGGCATATTAAAAGGGAAAAGGCATAACTTCTGGTCGATGTGCGTTGCTCAAACTTAAGTTCCCTAAAGCAAATGGGCAAGAACAACATGTTACTAGCCTGTGTAAAGCCGCCCCTGCCCTCAAACAAAATCGGCTGTACGCAGGCTAAGTAATATCTGTTCATTCCAAATAGTTAAAGCTTTGACTCGTTACTGAGTTTCCCTGTGTGAGTAGTTAGAAGCCATTATTAATTGGAAAAAATTGAACACTAGCACAACATGCAATCCTGAACGCTTGCCGAACACGACTGTTTTGCAATAAGCATCACATGCAGCCCTAAATTCTAGCTGTCATAAGCCCAATGTTCAACTGGCACAACATGCCATCATAAACTCTTGCCATAAGCAATTAGCGCCAAATGCATTCTCGTCCATTCTTGTTGAGCATGAGAAACTAGAACAGCATACAATCTTGAACCAGTTGTTGACATTATATACGCAATGTTGAACTAGCACAATATGCAATTCCAAATTCTTGCCAACAAAATTGCAATATGCATTAGCAGAGCAATGAGCCAAATTAACGAACACAGAATGCGACACAGAACTGTTTTTGGTCTCAACAAACTTGTGTCTTAAATGCTCGAGTTGTTTGGGTTCAACTGAAATTCTTGATCTTGAGGGAAACTATCGGCTAAGCCACACACTTTTGCCTCCCCTAACAATGTCACGTGGCCATTATCAAGAAAATGAAGTACTAGTAAGACTGTCGGCAGTCTCATTTTCCGACGACCTTGTGCATGGAACAGAGTCTAAAGAAGGTCTTCTTAGTCTTTCGTGTTGATGAGTCCGTATGCTCGCTAGTTTTTGAGTCTGTAGTTTTACACATTCCAGAATTTCCCTTCCTCGCTGGGTCAAGAATTGAAATTCTCCCTCGCCAGCCTTGCAGCCTCTGAAAATATAAGCAAAGGAGATGTTCCTCGATAAAGCCATCAGCAAATAAAAATAAACACAAACAAACTAGTTGAGGATCCCCTGTGGACACCAGTTACGAAACTGCACCAATTTAGCTTTTGCAAAGACTTCTGGGATGGTTACTGGGGATGCACCGGTCAGCTATTGGCCAATTGTTTCCCTGTCCCTAGTAGCATGTCCCAGAGGTCTTTGTGAAAGATAACTCGACCCAGTTTCCTCTCGTTTCTAAAGTGGTAAATGTACTTGAATGGGCTGCCACCCTTAGTTAGCCTGGTCGCTCTTTAGACTGGGTGACTGTGAGTGGTGTGTCAAATTGCACAATGGAATTTTTTTGGTGAACAAATACAGCTGTCTCTCCTTGCTTCTCACCACTAGGGACATCTTTAGCAGAGACATACTTTAAAATTTTTTTTGTACTAGTATAAGGACTGCGAGTGAGCAGTGGACCCTTATTTTCCTAAGCAGTCTATTAAAATGAGTGCAAAAAAGAAGCACAAGTGAAATTTTTCTCCACGAGGTGAGGCAACACAGTTGCTTTAACATCCCTGAGAAAAGAGGGAATAGGGAACTTTTAGCAATTACTGATCTTCTGGTATTCTTAAGCCCTTGTTCAGCTGCTTAATGGGAAAATTAACCCTCACCTTGCCGCTTGAAATGTCAACACTTTGTCTAAGTCCTGCAAATGTGAAAGTCTTTGAAGTCGAAATCTTGGTAACCTGAGATCAGGCGTTATTTTTTTTATTTTTTGCTTCTTTGCTTCTTTGGCTCGAGGGGAAAAAAATAACGCCTGATACATTTATTTAACAAGCCGTTAACCGCCCCCTAATTTACATAATCTAACGTCTACTTGACCTGTCATGTTATTAGCCAATAAGCGTTTACCATAAGGGAATCAAATTTGGCGCGAATAATGTCTCTTTTGAAATCAATTTTAGCTAGGGAACAGAAAATTTTTTTAAAAGTATGTCCATGTTCAGATGGCGCTTCCTAAAAACAAAATTTAAATGTGTTGTTTTTGTGATGAAATACTGCTAGCTGGAGCTGCCGTACCTTTTTAACAGCTACAAATAATAAGACTTTATAATTACTGGTTAAAGCTCGTTGACTTCGTACTGTACCGAAAGCAGTGGAAAAAAAAAATAGGCTAAAGCACCTGAAAGGTGTTGTGAAAACGAAGATCGCTCAGAATAATTCGCAGGTTTGTGAAGGACGAATTACAGTCAAACCAGGTCAAGATTCCATTCATGAATTATTTGAAAAGTGAACCCGTTTGTCGCTTCTGTAACTTGTAGCCGGTATCAAATTGCATTCAAATGATCGGTGAATTTTAAGTATACGATGAGATGGAAAATATTTCAATGGACGAAATTTCTATTTAGGCATCCTTCAAATTCAAGAAAACTCAGTCGGCAGAAATTTCATAACGAACTCGCGTGCGTATTCACTGCTCATTACGCAAGCAAAAATGCAGACTGAAATCAACAACAACTAACGGATGGCGGCATTTTGGCCAATCGGAACGGCGCAAATCATCCGTATTGTTTCCTATCCAATCAGAAAAAAGTCCAGATTCTGGCTTTTTTACATGTGATCCGACAAACAAATGTATCATGCCATCTTCCCGTGAGAGACATAAAGGGATAATAGGGAGAGGGCATGATCTCAGGCTAAAATCTTGGAAGGTGGTCCAACTCCCACTGAAAAACCCTTTCTCCTGTTTTTGCACTATGAAGGCATAGATACTCTTTCCGAACAGTCATTAAATAGTTCCCTGAAAGTTCAAGTCTATCAGAGTCTTCTGTAGGAATCACATTTACCATTTACATATAGTCCTGTAACCAAGACAGAATGATGAGTATGTGTGGTTAGCAAGTCTCTTAAAGACTCAGTCATATCCTGTTATAGCCCTCCACAAAAAAGATGCGAACATTTAACTTCCTTGGATCTCTCACTGCCTTAGCATAAGCCCAGAAAGTCAGCCTTCAAAAGGTTTAACATATACCTTTTGTCTACCAAGGCTAATGTCCTGCAAATGCAGATGCATTTCTGGTTAAACTTTTTGTGGGGAGAGTCTAAGTGACAACCAGAAGCGCATCTGTAGTCACAGGCTTCAAAGCCTTTACAATTTTGAATGAAATTGGAAGAGTATATACTTGCTTAGAAACATGGCCAACAAAACAGAATTGGATCAACCCTGTACGTCACCTACAAGGCTGTGCTCTCAGGAAAATTAAAGCTAAGGGAACCCAGTGCTTTGAACCTGTAAAATCCAGGTTGCCCAGCATTTCTATTATGATTTGTATGAAAAAACTAAGATTTTTTAGTCCCTAGGAGCATATAGGTTGGGCACCCGGGCCTAGCTAGAGCTGACAGCACTGCACTATAAATGACAAAATTAAGGAGGCTATGAGGAAGAGCTGTTCACAGTCCTCTGTTTTTCTGTAATTATTTGGAAGAAGAAGAATTCTAAGACCAGTAAACTCAGAAAAAAATTGTGAGTTCCATGTGTGAGTCAAACTCATGACCCTCCGCGTTCTAATTTGGATGCTACTGGAGGCTCTATGGTGAGCAGAGTCGAACCACACCAGTAAGACTGTACATGTCAAGATCAAGAACTATGCATTACAGGCGGCCATCTTAGCCCTCGATCTCAATAATATTATGGAAAAAATAGAGGACTGTGAACAGTCTAAAGGGTTATCTGTAAGGTCCTGTACATGTATTACCGATATTTTTCACATGTATAACTGTTTGCGATAATCCATTACCGTATTAAGGTGTCGTCCATGTCCCTATAATGCTGTTTGCCAAAAACCTTGTGAATCGTTTGTTTTCAGAAAATGTTGTGATTGGACAATTTTCTTTCAAGTATCCTTGTTTTGAGTGTCCGCTCTGTAATAGATTATTGATATTTGTTTTTCTCTTTGGCAGTTTATCATAAAATCTCAACATATGAATTCATAGTGAGTTCTCGAGAGCAAAGATCTGAAGCTTCTGATGTGGAGGCTGGCACAGATAAACCCTCTTCATGCAAACAGTCAAATAAGAAAATGTTTAAGGTGGGTTTGCCACAAAGTGACTTTCAGTTTGTTTCATCCTTAACCAAGGACATGATGTGTCACACACCCTGACATGATAATTAGCAGGTTTCATGGAAAACAGGAAATTTCAAGAAGTGACCATGCAGGCAAAGTCATGGAACATGACGAACTCAAGAAAGTACAATTGTATGAACCCTGATTAAGCATATACTAGGGTATCTAAAAGATAGTAATGCTGCGGCACATTCTGTTGATACTGGCATTAGTTAGGCAGTGGGACTTAAACGAATCGAAAATGACATTGAATGTCCTATTTACATGTTGGAAAGTACTAGAATAATTACTATCAGTCTATATAAATAACTCGTGGGAACGTTGTTTAAAAAATGATCAAGTGGTTATCAATTCTGGTTTTCCCACAGTAAATTGTAGGAAATGATAGAAATTCAGATTGTTTATCCATATATTTAATATAGGGTGTACTATCTTTTCTCTGGAAACATGATACTTTTCTTGCAGTTTATTGCATTTTATTAAGTAACAGTTATTTAGCTATATATTTATAGAAAACAACAACACAAAAAAACAGAAAAAAAAAAGAAAGAAGGAAAAAAAGAGTTCGGTAGGATTCGAACCCGGCCTCATCGGCTTGACGCGACTACACCTCACCACTACACCACAGAGACTGGTTACGTAATTTGGCGAAAAGTCTTTACTTTAATTCCTTTTCCGTGAAACTTCCGCAGGCAAGATGATCGCCAGCCGCATTAATCGAGCTATTAACAGCAAAAAACAATGTAAACGCATATTCCATGGCAATGAATGAATGAAAGAACATAATTATTCTTTTCAAAACGCCGATACACGTCCTCGTCTGCAACGTAGGACACAAAACATATGTTTTGTTATCTCGATTTCCGCTGTTATTTTCAAGCGAATGGTCAAAATCACATCCATTTTCGGCTAATACAGGTTCTTAAGAATAGCATGGCATGACATTTTCTCACTTTCACATCACCTTCTAGCAAGCTGGAATTTGTATATCCCCCGTGTTGCGGAGTCGAAGAGCAAATACTCATCTTCTCGTCAGGTTTAACACCTGGACGAGTCAAAGGCTCTTGAATTGAAATCCAATCCCCAAGTTAACCATCGTACTCATCTGAAAGACTCCTGCGTGTCTTGAATTTGGTAAGACCTCTAACCGTGCTGTAGAAAATTTGCTACAAAGAAAACTCTGAGTCTGGGCAGCGAACGATGCGAACTTCCCCGTGTTTTTATTTGACTTGTTCGTGGCGCAATGCACTCTGGTTAAATGCAATGCATTGTGGTAAAAAGTGTGGTTAAATGCAATGCATTGTGGTAAAAAGTGATGAATTCGAGAATTCGTCGCCCCTTATATATTTCCCTTAAATCCTGATTATGTTGCTGCTCGCTCCCTACGGTCGCTCCACAGCAAATATAATAGTATAAATTCCAACTGGCTGGAGGTTTATCAGTTGGGTATGTTATCAAGCATGATCAAGGAGATAGTTAACTAGGGTATCTAAAAGATAGTAATGCTGCGGCACATTCTGTTGATACTGGCATTAGTTAGGCAGTGGGACTTAAACGAATCGAAAATGACATTGAATGCCCCATTTACATGTTGGAAAGTACTAGAATAATTACTATCAGTCTATGGAAAGAACTCGTGGGAACCTTGTTTAGAAAATGATCAGGTGGTTATCAACTCTGGTTTTCCCACAGTAAATTGTAGGAGGTGATAGAAATTCAGATTGTTTATCCATATATTTAATATACGGTGTACTATCTTTTCTCTAGAAACACGATCCTTTTCTTACTGTTTATTGCACTTTATTAAGTAACAGTTATTTAGCTATATATTTATAGAAAACAACAACACAAAAAACGGGAAAAAAAAGAAAGAAGGAAAAAAGAATTCAGTAGGACACGAACCCTGTACCATCGGCTCGACGCGACTACACCTAACCACTACACCACAGAGACTGATGACATAAGTTGGCGAAAAGTCTTTAATTTAATGCCTTTTCCATGAAACTTCCGCCGGCAAGATGATGGCCAGCCACATTAATCGAGCTATTAACAGTAAAAAAACAATGTAAACGCTTATTCCATGGCAATGAATGAATGAAAGAACATAATTATGCTTTTCAAAACACCGATACACGTCCTCGTCTGCAGCGTAGGACACAAAACATATGTTTTGTTATCTCGATTTCCGCTGTTGTTTTGAAGGGAATGGTCAAAAATCACATCCATTTTCGGCTCATACAGGTTCTTAAGAATAGCATGGCATGACATTTTCTCACTTTCACATCACCTTCTAGCAAGCTGGAATTTGTATATCCCCCGTGTTGCGGAGTGGAAGAGCAAATGCTCATCTTCTCGTCAGGTTTAACACCTGGACGAGTCAAAGGCTCTTGAATTGAAATCCAATCCCCAAGTTAACCATCGTACTCATCTGAAAGACTCCTGCATGTCTTAAATTTGGTAAGACCTCTAACCGTGCTGTAGAAAATTTGCTACAAAGAAACCCCGAGTCTGGGCAGCGAATGATGCTATTTATTTGAGTTGTTCGTGGCGCAATGCACTCTGGTTAAATGCAATGCATTGTGGTAAAAAGTGATGAATTCGAGATTTCGTCGCCCCTTATATATTTCCTTTAAATCCTGTTTATGTTGTTGCTCGCTCCCTACGGTCGCTCCGCAGCAATTAGTACTACCAAGAATCAAATCAAGTCAGTGATCAGGGCAAAGTCCAATGTGCTGACCACTCCGTCCCGCTGGCTCCAATTTCGTTGGCGGGGCTGTCACTCAGGACTGGGGGGAGGGGAGGGAGCAGGGATTTTCCTTGGCTTCTTTGAGCATGATCACTCACTTTATTAAGGGAAAAAAACGTGAAATCTTAGTGACTTAGTGACTGCCCTTCATTGGCAAATCGATCAGTGTAAAACGCAGACTGCGGACTGCAGACTGCGGACCAGGGGTAAAATGCAGACTGTGTGTAAAATGAAGACTGCAGACTAAGAGTAAAACGCAGACTGGGGTAAAATGCAGACCGAGCATAAAATGTAGTCGTGGAAGGGTTTAAGGCCAAAGAAATCCCGCAAATACATGTAAACGAACACTTACTAGACGATATCTGCTTTCACAAATCCATTCCTTTCTTCTCTGGAACGTCGACGACGACCCGAAAACATAATCGCAATCTTGAACCTTTTTTTTGCCCGTCCGAGAGACTTCACGCCTCAACTTTAGAAGCGAAGTTTTGGATATACGTGGCCAGGGACCGTGAATTGGTACAACACAGGGCGGGTACAACACCACGATATTTACGCTTAAATGAAAGCTGCTGACCCAAAATACTGTACAGGAAGAATTATGGCAATAAAAAAAGGGAGTAAATTATTGCAACAACAAAGAAAGATGTTCTGCAGGAAATCTGGATGACCTTCTATGAAAGTATTGCAAATCAAGGTACGCAGACTTAAGCTGTTGGGATGTTTATTGAAACTTCTGGGGAATGTGCAATGCACTTCGACTAGGAAGCGAATTGTGTAACTGATACCGGCTGGCTATTCACCGATTTGGAGACGAAGGAGCACAAATGTTTAAAAAAGTCTACTGTCTTTATTCTGCATTTTGCACCCAGCCTGCGTTTTACTGTTAGTCTGCAGTCTGCATTTTACACTCAGTCTGCATTTTACCCCTGGTCCGCAGTCTGCGTTTTACACTGACCGATTGGCAAATCCTTGCAATGTAATAAAAAACCCTTAACTTTCTCTCTTGTAGAATAAAGTAAAGCCTGAAGAAGAGAGGACAGAGAATGATGAACCTCAAAGGTGAGGTTACAAAAATGGTGCTTTAAAACCAAGTATTCAAAAAATAATCAATTGATTTTAATTTTATTATTGATCATTAATAATTCATTTGCCTCTGGCATGGCCGGAAAATTGGGGTGGATACTGGCAGGTCTAAAGCATAGATCACATTTCATAGGTCAAGAGTACAGGTCACTGCTCCATCAATAAATTACCAAACCACATAGATTCCCCTTGATCAAATAGAGCATTTTTAAGTTAAGGGTTTAATAATATATATAGGAGACACTCTTTTAGCTGTTCATTAATTTATCTGTATCTGACCTGTGGAAAAGTGACCTGTATTTTAGCTCCGCCAGTAGGCACCATGTAGCTTCAACTAGCCCCAAACGTTTTTTCCCATAATGTTTTTGGTAAAATGAACCTTATGAACCCATTTTATTTATTTATTTTTTTTAAAAAGTAGATATCTCTATTAACTTGACACGAGCAACCAGTTCCACCTCTGTTGGCTAACACAAGTTTTTACAAAATTTCTTTTATTCATTATTTGAGAATTGAAATAAGTGATCATGGTGCTTCTGAAGGGTCTGATGATACTCTACCAAATGAAACAACTGTAAAGTTTATTAATGAAGTCAGCTCCAAGGTGAGTCATTTACTAGTCCTAAGAGGCTATCAATCATGGTCAAGAAAGTTCTTTTGAAACTGTCTGCTTACGAAGTGCTTGACTAATCATTTATAACTGTAATTAAAGTAACTGAAAAATTGCCTGCTCATTAATAATACTTCAGAATCCTGTACATTTTACAGAGAAATATACAAAATGAATACAAAAAATGGTTAGTTATTATATAATCGTCGAGGAGCCAGATTTACAAAACCTTCCTAATTTAACCCTTTCTTTTCCAAGAATGCCCCAATTGACAGGGCTAATTATTTAACAAGCTGATACATTTTATGCTGCTATGCTGCACATCTATTAAGCTAGAAGATTGACATGTTTGCAGATGGATTGACTTGATGGACAATAATTTCCTGGAATATTATGCAGACATGCTAGCACACTAACAATAGTGTGTCATTGAAGTTTGTCTATATTCCATGCTTATCTTAGGTTTTTGGACCAACTTTTGATGGAGGGTGTCTTGTAGAGCCCTACCACTCCAGTCATCTTATTTCTTATATGTCTTTACTCTACTTTTACATCAGGCTGCTGCCAAGCAGAACAGATCCAATGTAGAAGAAGATACCATAAAGCAACAGGATTATTCAACTATCACAAGCCCTGATACTGCTCATTACTCACCCCAAGGAATTACAGAATGTGCATCATCTTCAGAGGAGAGCCTTAAAGAAATTACACCCCCATCCACTTCCCCTCGAGTAGAGGTTAAACAGCCAGCTAGCATAATCACATCACAGCTTCAAGAGACAATTTCAAGCAATCAATACCAAAGTGAATTATCTTTTAATCCAGGACCTAGGAGGGTTTCCATGATAACTTTTAATGACCAAGTAGAAGAACTTGTTCCCAGTTCTCAGGGAAAGAAAAAGAAAAAGACCAAGGTGAGTGAAGATGCAAATACAAACACATTGAAAAGTGGAGATTATGAACTTACTGCAGTCAACAGAGAAAATGCTATGCTGGGCAGGATACTGTTGATGCTGTTACACCAAGGAAAAAGAAGAAGAAGAAACCTAAAGCAAACTCCCCCGACAGCCAACCCCCTTTTGTTAGACGCCCATTGCCACAATTGCCACCACAAGATGGTTAGGCCAGTCAGACTTGATCCAGAGTTTACATTATTTTTTAAGAATTATACCTAGTTAGCCAGTTTACACTTTCTTAACATGCAAAGTGAAAGTTTATCACATTTTTGTTTCTCACTTGTCACCCTTTTCACAATGAAATCTTTTAAAGTGTATAAATGAACATTATAATATCGTTAGACCCTTTCAATTCCTTTCAAATCATGCGACACAGCAATATTTGCATCAAACCAATTGAATTGCAATATTTTATTATTATTTTACAATAATTAGTTAAGCTATTTTTTAGTGATTTTGGCTGGGTTGTTCAAAGGATAATTAAGGTCAGTTGCCATAACAACTCATGCATTCTCTTCTGTAGTTAATCAAGGATTACAGGTAACCAAGCTTTGAACAAGTCTGTCATGGTCATAAAAATTTTAATGAAATTTTAGCGGAACTAGAATCTACTTTGGCCTTGCTAATATTTTAAGCGAATCTTATCACTATTTTTTAAAATCTGAATTCAGTCAATGTGTAAATTGCATAATGAACATACGTGTTTCCTAATTATGATGTATAGTAGATGAAATATTTATAGCTTTAAGTATAAATTATGTATTTTAACATGAAGATCTTAAAGCCAATCAACTTTCATTGATCTCAAACCAATTATTGTCTTAATGATATTAATATTAATAAAATATAAGCGAAAAAATGGGACAGCTACAAGCCAAACCTGCTAGACTTAGAGCAGTCTCTCTTCTCCTCAGATTTAGTAAAGGGAATGCATGCCAGTGCAAGAGTTGTCATATTCGTTTCTAGGGCATTTCGCTCGGTGGAGTAAGAAAAAAGAGAGAATGCTCATAGTCATTAGACCCTCTGAAGTTTTAAACTTTGAGCAAAAGCAGCTGCTGGCAATGGTGGTGTTTTTTATTTTTGTGCTGTAATTTATCTAGATTGATATGCATGCATTACAGCCAAGCTGTTTGCAAGCAGTGTACTTTCAAGTCACATTGTCACCTGCACTGTTATTTATAGCAATTTTTGTCATTAAAATGCTTATTTATCTACAAATTAGCACTACAGTCTTGTGCAAGGTCAATTTTTGTCTCAGTTCCAAAAAAACTGCATAATACATAGGAAAAAACCCTTGAGGCTAAACTAAAAAGTAGAAAGAATAAAATATTGTTTTTCAATATTTGGTTTATCTTATTTTGTGAGATAACTGACAAATGAGGCGAAGCTTTGTCTCTATTGTCTCCAGCCACGTAGCTCTCTAAGAAACCTCTAGGTTCTGTATTATTGTCCCTTGAAAACACACCTGATATTGTTTTAGTCTGAGTTTACGGCATTGTTTGGGTTCTGTACAGTCAATCAAACATCTTGTTTTGAGAGCTTTGTGACATTACCATGAAGACATATGTCTACAGACATCCTCACACTTTCCTTATTGTTGGTCTCCGAGTCCTTACCGCTTGAGTCTGAGAGAGGTTTTTGAAAGGAAATGTATGCTTAGATCACACTCAATAGACCTTTTAACTGATACAGTGGCCATATTGAATTTATTAGATTTAAGGAGTATTATGGGATGCCCAGGGGGCACTCGCTCAGTATTTACTGGCACTTTTCAGGCCAAAAAGAGAACTTCAACATATTTTTCTCAGGAAAAAGGCGAGCATAATTACATCCAAACACAGCACAACGATCTTTTTTTCTCATTGCAATTTTTTCTAGGAAAACTATGAAGAAAAATTGGCCTGAAAAGCGGGCATAAATACTGAGCGAGTATATCGGATCGAGCTCATGCCCCCTGGGCTAATTCAATATGGCCACCATATCGGTAAAAAGATCTATTTATCTGCATGACAAGCAGGTCTCTATTAACGTTTCACTTACAGCAATTGGCCCAAAAGTGTGACCTCTTTGAATAAATAATTCATATTCTTTCATGTACACATTAACCAATTAGAAGTCGAGGACATGCAGTTTCCAGCTGGCTTCTGATTGGATTAAATCTGTGAAAAAGAATGTGAATCAATCAAAAGTGGTCACACTTATGGGCTCATTGCTGTAAAGTGACCAAAGAAAAAGTTAACAATAACAACAACAACATTTTTTTGTAAAATCCTGAGAGATAAGTGGTACCATGCAAAAGTTCTACCAAAGTGGTTCATTTGAATAGCAACATGGGGTTTAACCATGCAAGTTTCAAAGTTAGCGCTGTACTTAACTTGTCAAGTTGGTCATGGGTTCCGCATTCCCCCAAGGTGCATCAATATCCTTTCTTGTACTAGGACAACTAAAGCAAAGTATTGTCTACAGAACAATATGGTACCCATAACTTGAACAAGAATATCTGAAGCATTTAATTCTGATAATTCTAACTAAAAGATCTATAAAAGTTATCCAAGGTCACTGCAATTCCAACTTAAATAATATTATAGAAGCTCGTTTTTCTAGTTGGAATTCTTGCAGCTTTAAAATCGGCCAGTCTAATCTCTATTTAACTTTGCTTACAAGTTGAGCACACACAGGTCCACACAGTTTGTGGGCATACAATAATGGAAAATCATCCGTCTTGTTTTACTAGTAATTCTCACCCGCTTGTTTCCATATTACGGCGGAAAAAGTTGATCACCTGTCCTTGTCTAACCACCCAGTGTTAAAAGTGGGTATCCATGGCATCAGAAGTTAAGTGTCCGTTTGGAGAGGAACGCAGGGTTAGGTCCCTCCCTTGCTCTCTCTCTCTCTGTTGGACCAAGATTACAGACACTGTCACTGACCAGAAGTCAAGACAACCGATGCGTGGGCCGGCTGCAATGCAGGTTATGGTTGCACAGCATGTTGTATAATGGAGTAGCGATTGGTTGAAAACTGCAAGACTCTCTCAGTTGGGCAGAGAGAACAGGAATTCAGCAAACTGGCCTCGCTCCACACTACTTCTGTCTCTTGTGAGACGGATGAAAGGAGTTGAAAATGTGAATGTCACACCACCTATTTTCACACTTTTTAAGCCTTCACATCCGTTTGCAGATCTCGGTCCAGAAATTATGACCTTAATATAGTAGACAGTGTCCCTTTTCAAGGAAGGTTTAGAGTTAAACAGAACCTCAAATCCATAATAGCTAAAATTTTGGCATTCCAATAGCTTTGAAGGCCATCTTGAACTTTCCAATTTCGCCAAAGGTACTAAAAATGAATCAAATTCTGGGTTGCCTTCGTATAACTGTAATGTATCTAAGTCGTAAGATTTGTTCTCCCTGCCAAATAACCGCAGTCCATCTAAAATTATGTCTTTGTCCACTTGAAATTCAATAACATCCCCTTTTAATCCGTAATAATCCCAATCACTTATTTCCATCAGGGTAAACCTTCCACAACGGTGAATGAATTCAGCTCGTCTTCGAGTCTCTGAGAACCCTAAAGGCGGAGAGGTCTCTTGTGAACTAAAAAACTTAAAAAAGTTGACGATTTCATCTAAAGTAAGAATTTTTGCATCAAGAACGACACCAGCAAACTCTTCTTGCTTCATCGCTGCATAGCGTATTGCTTTAATAATTTTCTCGCCGAGAACTCTTCTTTTTAGTTCACCGTCAGTTGCTAAGCCCTGCTTTCTGCATTGATTGATGGCCCACCGATCACAAGCTTTAAACAGCTCGGCTTCTCTGATCTGCAGCGTTTCTCGTTGGACCAAAGCTTCAAGCAAGGTGTTCTCAATCGTCTCAAATCCATCTGATTTCAAAGCCTGTCCAGTCTGCCTGTCGATTACTTTCCAACATCGATCAACCAGGTTCTTCTCTTCATATTTCTGGGCAGTTGGCAAGATGGTGAAAACGTTCGAAGGGTCCAATTTATCTTGCAGATAATCCTTGCACTTATCAGCAAGGGAAGGAACAATGTACTTCTTGGCCAAATAGAGTACTCCCAGTACATTGCTTCCGCTTAAGTTTACTTCATCGCTGTACAGGTAACGAAACAACTCCAGCAAACTCTCGTAATCAGAGTCAGGCAGTTGAATAGTGTCTTTAGTCTCCGCTAGCTCACCGTAAAACATGGCTTCAAACACAGGACTGCCAATGGAAAGCACAAACTTGTGAGCAGTGATCAAACGATCAGTTTCACTTTCGCCGTCGTTGCCTCGAACAACGAACTTCACATCGCTCAAGTGTGCATTATTGAACATAAATTTGGTTCTCTCTCTGACGGTGGGTCTTGTTGTTTGCCAGTTACTTTGAACAGCCATACTTGCTCAGCGCAGTGGCAATTGTGGACAACGATACGTTTTGTTATCGGTAGCAAATTATTTCTCTTCCGCTTTAGTACGTTGCGCCTAACGACGTCACGCGATTCCTCGATGTCAACGTTCTACTAATCAACTAGCCTCCCACGCAAACGTTCTTAGGGGTTCGTCCCGCGTTCCTACCCCACGTGGGGGAGGAAAGATTGCGTGACGAACCCGTAAGAACGTCTGCGTGGGAGGCTACTAATCAACGGCACATTGCAAACTGACCTTTATACTCCTGCTATCCATCCCACACTAAAAAGTCGATCCCTTCCAGCATGGCATTACGACTAAGACTCAGAATTTGCTCGGCAGATGATTTCTTTAACAAAAGTCTCAACGCACTCACCACACATCTCATCCTCATCCGGTTTAGTGGATAATACGGGGCCGGGGTGCGGGATGCGGGGTGCCGGAGCGACGGTAGCCAGCGTGGCAGGCGTTTGAAAGGAAAGGGAAAGGGAGTTTTAGGTGCGAGAGAAACGCGAGGGGCGCGCGAGGAGGGAGGGAGGGAGGGAAACGCCTGCCAGGAAACCATTGTTTTTTCCGTTTTTAACATCCACCAGGCGAATGCTAAAATCCTGATTGGTCCGTCTTCAAAACATGCCAATCACAGCCTTTATTCCTTAATCCGATTGGCTGAAATCAACATCAAGCTACTGAGTAACTTACTCGATCTTTCAATAATCATTTAAAAATATGCTGTTAGTGATCTCATGAGGCGTGATGAGATTTCTATATGAAATTCATCGTTTCAGAACGATCAGAAACTGAATGCATCAATTTCAGCTTAAGAGGAGAATAGAAGAAAGCAGTTAAAAGACTCGTATCAAGGAAAAGACCTGTCAGCTAGATGAGTTTTGCTGACAGATTTTGAGAAGTCTTGTCTCCCAACGGCTTGTTTTACTCACTAGAAGAAAGAACGGAAAAATCAAGCTGCCTGTGTGCTTGTTATCTGCTGTTTGACCTCAAACGCCTACCACGCAAGCTACGCTTATCAACGACCAGATTGTTGAAGACGAAGCGATCTATAATCCTTAGCGATTTTTGGTCTGAGGACTTCTTTTTCCTGATTATAGACGTTATAAAGCCTCCAGAAACTTACTTTAATAATAATATTGTTTGCAGAATTAGCCTTATTATAGATCTTTGAAGTTCAGCTCTTCTTTTCCTGCTACCATCGTTCTTTTGTATGCTCCGCTGGATCCAGTTCGAGAGTCAGCAAAGTGTTTGTAATTAATTTCTCCGACAAACATTGCATGCAAGTTGGGAAGTCCAACACGATACCTTCAGCAAAAACGTAATAGATTTAGGGAGATTTATGCTGGATTGTATATAACAAGCCACGCATGGTTGCGACTTTCTTCCATCAACAGACGATCGCATTTTTTAATAGTACCTTCACTTCAGATTTCTTGTTTTAGGAAAACAAAAGAAAAACAGTACGCGAAATACGACTTAAATAAGCAGGCTTATTTGACAGCTAGTCATTCACAGTTGCGTTATTTTTGCATGCATAATTAGTAGGCGGGATGGCGAAAACAATTGTTTCCTAGCAGGCGTTTCCCTCCCTCCCTCCCTCCCTCCTCGCGCGCCCCTCGCGCCCAAAACCCCCTTTTCCTTCCCTTTCAAACGCCTGCCACGCAGGCTACAGCGACGGGGTCTGTGGACAAGACGGGGTCCCGGGGTCTGTTGGGTAATTAACATATGTAGACTATACAAACTGGGGACCGAGCGAAAAATACAGACTGCAGACTGAGGTGAGGGTAAAACGCATGCAACGGTGTAGAATGAAGACTGGGAGGTAAAACGCAGACCCGGCAAACGTCAACTGTACACGCGGAGGGGCTAAGACCAAACTCCTGCAATTAATAACACTTTATGGTGATCTGTTTTTTTTTTCTTTTCTTTTTTTTTTCATCTTTTCACTCTAATGACTTCTCTGGAGCGTTTTATTTCAACGATATGGAAAAATAAAGGTTATCTTGACCTTTTGGAGAGACATCCTAAGTTGCAGAGCGGGATTTCATGGGTCTCGCATTCCCCCAAGGCGCATCAATATCCTTTCTTGTCAGACTAGGACAAGTAAGGCAATGTATAGTTGACAAAACTCCTGGGTACCCATAAGTTGAACAAGAAAACCTGAAACAGTTTATTCTAATAATTCGGACAAAAAATCTATAAAAGTTATCCAAGGTCATTGCCCTTCCAACTTAAATTACAGAAGGTCGTTTTTCTCCCTGGAATTCTTGCAGCTTTAAAAACTAGTCTTCTCTATTTGGAAAAAAAAGCTGGTTAGCACACACAGGACTAAACAGTTTACGAGCATACAATAACGGAAAATCGTCCGTCTTGTTTTACTAGTGGTTCTCACCCACTTGTTTCGATGTTATGTCGGAAAAAGTTGATCATGTGTCCTTGTCTAACTTCTCTGTATTAAAAGCGGGTGTCCTTGGAACCAGAAAAGTGTCCGTTTGAAGAGGAACGCAAGGTTAGATCTCTCTCTCTCCCTCTCTTTCTAGTAGTATAAACGATGCGTGACCGGCTGCAATGCAGGCTATGGTTACACAGTATATGGTATAATGGTGTATGGGTTGGTCAAAATACGAAACTCTCTCAGCTGGGTAGAGAGCACAGGAATTCAGCAAACTGGCCTTACTCCACACTACTTCTGTTGAGTTTGCGACAGATGCATGGCCTTAACCTGAGATCAGGCCCAATTTTCGCGGTTCTCATACAGTCTCTTTAACGAATGTTATTTTCAAAGCGAAACGAAAATAGAGCCTGATCTGAGGTTAGCATGGCCTTGAAAATGTAAATGTTACGCCACCTATTTTCACAGTTTTTAAGCCTTTGCATCCCTTTCCAGATTTCGCTCCAGAAATTAAGACCATAATATGGTACAGAGTGTTCTTTTTCAAGGAAGGTTTACAGTTAAACATAACTTCTATTCTATGAAAATTTGGCATTCCAATAGCCCTGAAGGATATGTTGAACTTTCCAATTTCATCTCCAAAAGTACTTCTGAATACAATGGGTTGCCTTGGTATAACTGCATGTAATCAATCTAAGGTTGTATAAGTTGTACTTACTGACAAATAATTAACTAGCCTGCGTAGCAAGCGTTTCCGTGCGGTTTAGGAGCAAAGAACGAGGAACGAGAGTCAAAGACCGCGCGAAAAATGTGATTTTTTGGCTCTTGTTTCATTTCTCGCGCGGCCAAAACCGAGAATCCCGTTCCTTGGTCTTTCTTTGCTCCGAAACCAAACGGAAACGCGTGCCACGCAGGCTAACAAATATATGTCTTTGTCCATATCAAATTTTAAATCCCTCACAATCCCAAGAACTTCTTTCCATCACGGTAAACCTTCCTTAATTAACGGTGAATGAATTCAGCTCGTCTTCGAGTCTCTGAAAACCCTAAAGGCCCGGGATCAAACCACTAACTGGTACAGCAAAGGTAAAATGAACTTTGGTTCCAAACTGACAGCGTTTATTCTTGTGGTAGAGTAACTAAGCTCTCAAATGTCAATGATCGGCGATCGATGTAATCGCAAAATCAGTTTAAAGCAACTTCAGTGTATATATGATCTGAATAACCATTAAAAACAAAAGAGTACAATAGATATGTAAACAGAAAATCAAATAAAAGAGATAGTTATAGCTTGTTAGTGTTGCTATTTTTAAAAAGTAAAAGTACTGGAACAAAAGCATTGTACCTAAGTTTGCTAGGTCGGCAAAACAGCATTTATGTACAATATTTTGCAATATGCAGTATGAATGAAACTGCAAGCAAGGCCAGCTAGCGTCTGTTCAAACAGGAAGAAACGCGGACTTATCACTAATTTCCTAGTTTAAAGCAAAGCAAATATACTGCGGATTTGCAAGTCAGCAAAACCTTTCATATCCCAAACTCAGGTGTTGCCACTATTTAAAAATAGACTCAGCTAATGAACGTTATATTCGCATTAAAACGAGGTACATCCTTAAAAAGGTGCTAATGTGAACGGATGTCGTGCAGAATAAAAAGAAAGCTTAAGTTTATAGCCATTATTCTGAAAACTGGTGATTTTTCTAAAAGTCAACAATTGAAGTTAAACGTGTCTAGTTGAAAAGAGTCAGTGGCAAATAGTTTTGACAGCTGTTAACACTGTTGCCTTTTTCTAGAATTATTGCGTTAATAAACACTAAGTAATCAAACGTACAATAAAATGGCACGAGCCTTCGAAATGTAAATCAACAAAGTGTTCTTGTACAAAATATTATTGCTAAATCGATTCGTAAAGCAAAGCAAAAAGCAGCAAGGCTATATCAAGCGAAAACTTTGAAAGCTAAAACTTTAAAAGTCATTAAATTCGAACGCCACTATAGTAAAAACCCTATTGAAATCAAAGATTACTTAGTACTTGAATTTACTTCCTAACAACTATTAAATATTTTAATTTCAATTTATTTTTACCAACGAAATACTGAAGACAAATTGATACAAATAACAACAACAAATTAAGAATCATGAAGTGGGGTCGTCGCGCGTGAAGTCTCAACGGCAGATGTTAACTGAAACGAAAAAATCGCCTAAAGTGGCACTACTCGACTGTGCTACCAATGAAAACTGCAGTAGTGTTGAATGAGGACGGGAACATTTGCCCTCTTTTTTCCGGAAGGGTATTTGGGATCTCAAGAGTGTCCACCCCCGGGAATAAGCTATCCAAGGGAAAAAAAGCTGTATAATGCCCGGGGTTAGCGCTACAGCTGACTTAGTTATTCTTTTCGATTTGGGAGTTGCAGACATGTACCTTCATGGGCACGAAAGCTATTTAGCAGAGTTAGTTAATATCCCTTGATTCGATGCATGCAGAAGTGACATCGTAATCGTTACATCAGTGTCAGTTCATAATTTAATATTTGTATTTCGCTTACCCTATTTTACCTCCTCCTGATATAATAATTGCTTTCCATGAAGAAAGCGTGCAATATGTGTTTTATAGATCACCTAGTAACTATTTGCAAAGACACAAACGCCTTGACATTACACTTAACCTTCCCTTAGGAACTACCAGTTTCCTGTAATAAAGCGATAGCCATCATGGTGCTACATGAGTTATGAACACAGTGAGTTATTGATTAGAAATAGTTAGTGTATCACTAGGTGAAGGCGCTCAGTATTAAACTGAGGTCGACTGCAACCGCAATAATACTTAGAGGGAAAACAGAAATTCAGGAAACTGACCTGCAGCGACGAGCTGGTCGGACTGATTTACAGCCCGTAAAAACGTAAATGTAACACCACTTACTTTTACGCTTTTGAAGCAATTACATCCCTTTCCAGAATTTGGACCAGTCATTAACAACCGAATTTTGTAACGACAGTTCTTTTTTAAATTGGCTGGAGGGTTGAACCAAACTTCAAATCCATAATAGTCATAATACTCGCATTTCAAAAGGTCTGAGGAATATGTTCCTGTCACAGACTTTATAGTTGAATTATTACTAGAATCCTTTATTTCCAGTGTGATAATCTTGTAAGTGTTGTTCTCACTGCCAAACAAACACAGGCCATGAAAGTTGATGTCTTTGTCTACTCTAAATTCAATCTCGTCCCAGTATTTTATCCCGTCATAACTCCAAGAACAGCTGTTCATGGAAATATACCTGTTACAACGCTGAATGACTCCACACGCGTGTCTTGGAGTGTGCAAAAACCCCGTAGCAGACTGGGGTGAGTCAGAGCTGAAAGCCTTGAAAACGATGATGATTTCGTCAGGAGTGAGAATTTTTGTGTCAACAACGACATCAGCAAATTCTTTTTGGGTCATCACTGGAAAGCGTATTGCTTTGATTACTTGTTCGCCAAGAATTCTTCTTTTTCGCTCACCATCAGCCACTAATCCCTCCTTCCGGCATTTCTCTATAGCCCACCGATTACAAGCCTTAAACAACTCTACTTCCCTGATGCCCATCGATTCTCTGGACACTACCTCTTCAAGTAATGACTTCTCAATTATCTCAAATCCATCCGATTTTAAAGACGCTTCGGTCTCAATGTCGACCACTTTCCAGCATCTATCAATAAGACTCTTCTCTTCGTATTTCTGGGCGGTTGTTAAGACCAGAAAGACATTAGACGGATCTAATTTGTCTTGCAGATAATCCCTGCATTTATCAGCAAGCGAAGGAACCATGTACTTCTTGGCCAAGTAGAGTACACCCATAACATTACTTCCGCTTAAGCTTACTTCATCGCTGTACAGGTAACGAAACAACCCCAACAAACTCTCGTAATCACAGTCAGGCAGTTCAATAGTGTCTTTAGTTTCCGCTAGCTCACCGTAAAACATGGCTTCGAACACAGGACTGCCAATGGAAAGCACAAACTTGTGAGCAGTGATCAATCGATCAGTTTCACTTTCGCTGTCGCTTCCTCGAACACTAAACTTCACATCGCTCAAGTGTTCATTATTGAACATGAATTTGGTTCTCTCTCTGACGGTAGATCTTGTTGTTTGCCAGTTAGTTTGAACAGCCATGATGGCTTTGGACAGTGGTACTTGTGGACAACTATAACGATCGGTAGCAAATTATTTCTTTTCTTTGCCTTAAGACAGCGCCCGCTTTCATTAGTTGCGCCTTTAGACGTCAGCTGACGTTACGCGATTTCTCAAGACGTCACGAAAGCATGATGGCGTGGTAGCTTAACCGCAAGGTGTTCTTAACCGATGGCCTATGTAACCTTGAAGACCTTGAAAGGAATATGGGCAGGGCGCGCTATACCCACCACAAAATTATTGAAAATTAAACAGCACCTCTTACAGGAACATTCCACACACATTTATTTCAAATGCTCGCTAAGACACATTTCGCTTCCCCCAATAGCGCAATAAGAGTTCTATCAATCGGAGATTATCAGACCATTGTCCTAAAACGAGAGAATTTTTTTTTTTGCAATCGACCAGGTGGATTAATGGAGCCCTTCTCCACATTTTGCTCCACAAAATAAACGAAATTAAACTCTTCAGAACATGTTTATTTAATGATACCTCATGTTGTAGCATCCCTGTCTCTCTCCAAAGGATTCGATAATCCCTTCTGTGCTGCAGTTACGTCGCAGTGATTTTTCTGCTTGCCGTTTGGTGACTTCAGTTCTTACCTTCCCTCACGTGTCAGCCATGCTCAACTTTAGCAAGTGGGTATGTTACCTCCGGCTCCTGCTGGGGGTTGTTGCTCAATAACATACGTCGAAAGGCCCTTTGGACATCATATGAAGTTTACACAACGTAGTATTCCTTATCGCTTCAGTTTCGAGCACTTTTAAAATCACACTGATTAGGGTTAAGCACTGATTATATACATGACTCGAAACGGTTAGCTTAGGGTTAAGGTCGTTGCTATATACCATTAATCAAACCACTCCGACCACAGACACTACGCTCCATGTTCGATTTTTACTAACGCCCATCTGAATTTTTTCTTCTTAAAAAATGGGAGACAAAAAAAAACAACTTGTGGTAACAAACATGATGAACCAACGCATGTTGCAAAAAACTTAGATTTGAAAGACACGGTGTTTCGTATGTAACAACATACAAAAAAAAAAAAAACTAATGATAACAAATGATGATGACAGAGTCAATTTGAAGTCTACAGGAAATTATAATATATGAGGCTAGTACAGAAAAAGTTTTTCACTGCCAAAATTTTCATTTAAAGCTGGTTTTAAATCAAAATGTTGGCAGTGAAAAACTGTGGACCCTCCGGAGAGGCCTCTTTGTGGTCAGAGGAAAAAAACAAAACGCGAAGCCGACACTGGGAACGAAGAGAGGCCCGAGGGTTTACGGTCGTTTCGTCAACGTCCTGTTCGCTAACTTCTGAACTCGTCTCACTTAAATGTTGGGTCAGTTCCCTAACAGCTTTCGCCTGATCAGTGTTTGAAAGAAGTCAAAGTTCGAGGTATATACATGCGTATCGCACTTTTTCACGGTATCATAGCTGAGAGAACGAAACACATACATGCGCAACGCTCGTTTCGCTTCTTGGCGGAACAAACACCATTATCCTTAGTCAAATTTAAGAGATGCCCGTGGCACTCCTTTCTTGATGCACTAAAGGGGGGAAAGTTAATACCTTTTATTCACTTTCCTATTGGCAAGGTGTACAATTTAAACTTATAGAATGAAGATGAAGTTTTCCCGAAATCCTCATGTCGGCATTAAGTATGCACGAGACTGTGAATAAGGAATAGAAGAACGACATTGAAAAAAGTTACTATTTCAGTATGGGATATTTGAAATCACTATTTTAGGCAATTTTTCATCGATTTTGAACATTGTTCTTCTTTAACTGAAACTTTTAGGCATTGTTAGTGCATTTGACATGTCAACATCGATAATTCTAACTATCTGAAAACAAGACGCCTTTACGCATAAAAATGCGGACGACAACAACTCGAGTCCAATGCATACATAACAGAGCGATTTATTTTTGTTAAGTTATTTTCACGTAAATTACACGTTTCTGAAATAACGTACAAAATATCGAAGGAAAAGACCCGAAAGAAAACGTAAATACGCAAAATGATGATGGATTGGAAATAGTGCCTTCAACATTAAACGAAATCCACGATTCTAAACTGGAATGTTAGGCCACAGTCAGACATCAAACTTAGGGAGCTGAGGCAAAGACGTTTTCAGGCGACGCACATCAACCGGAAGTGGACTTTTGGCATTCTTGGGCAGTGGTTTTGCCAAAATTTTCGGGCAAATCGTGCCTGTAAGAGCAAAGACACTTAGCAATAAAAATGTGGTAGAGTCAAGGCATATTAAAAGGGAATTTAAGGCATCACTTCTGGTCAATGTGCGTTGCTCAAAAACGTCTTTGCCTAAGTTCCCTAAAGCAAATGAGCGAGAACAACATGTTACTACCCTGTGTAAAGCCGCCCCTGACCTCAAACAAAATCGGGAGAGGGCGGCTGTACGCAGGCTAAGTAATATCTGTTCATTCCAAATAGTTAACGCTTTGACTCGTTAATGAGTTTCTCTGTGTGAGAAGTTAGAAGCCATTATTAATTGGAAAAAAATTGAACACTAGCGCAACATGCAATCCTGAAGGCTGGCCGAACGCAACTGTTTTGCAACAAGCATCACATGCAGCCCTAAATTCTAGCAGTCATAAGCCCAATTTTCAACTGGCACAACATGCAATCATGAACTCTTGCCATAAGCAACTAGCGCCAAATGCATTCTTGTCCATTCTTGTTAAGCATGAAAAACTAGAACAGCATACAATCTTGAACCAGTTGTTGACACACATTATAAACGCAATGTTCAACTAGAACAACGTGCAATTCCAAATTCTCATTGCGAAAACAATTGCAATATGCTTTAGCAGAGCAATGAACCAAAATAACGAACACAGAATGCGACACAGAACTGTTCTTGGCCTCAACAAACTTGTCTCTTAAATGCCTGAGTTGTTGGGTTAAAGTGAAATTCTTGATCTTGAGGGAAACCATCGGCTATGCCACACACTTTGGCCTCCCCTAACAATGTCACGTGACCATTATCAAGAAAATGAAGTACTAGTAAGACTGTCGGCAGTCTCATTTTCCGATGACCTTGTGCATGGAACAGAGTCTAAGGAAGGTCTTCTTAGTCTTTCATGTTGATGAGTCCGTATACTCGCTAGTTTTTGAGTCTGTAGTTTTACACATTCCAGAATTTCCCTTCCTTGCTGGGTCAAGAATTGAAATTCCCCCTCGCCAGCCTTGCAGCCTCTAAAAATATAAGCAAAGGAGATGTTCCTCGATAAAGCCATCAACAAATAAAAATAAACACAAACAAACTAGTTGAGGATCCCCTGTGGACACCAGTTAGGAAACTGCACCGAGTTAGCTTTTGCAAAGACTTTTGGGATGGTTACTGGGGATGCACTGGTCAGCTACTGGCCAATTTCTTCCCTGTCCCTAGGAGCATGTCCCAGAAGTCTTTGAGAAAGTTAACTCGACCCAGTTTCCTCTCATTTCTAAAGTGGTAAATGTACCTGAATGGGCTGCTACCCTTGGTTAGTCTGGTTGCTATTTAGACTGGGTGACTGTGAGTGGTGTGTCAAACTGCACAATGGAATTGCTTTGGTGAACAAATACAGCTGCTGTCTCTCCTTGTTTCTCAACACTAGGGAGACATGCTTTAAAATTTTTTTGTACTCGTATAAGGACTATGAGTGAGCAGTGGACCCTTATTTTCCTCAGGAGTCTATTAAAATGAGTGCAAAAAGGAAGCAAAGGTGAAAGTTTTGTCCACAAGGTGAGGCAACACAATTTTTATTGCTCTACCATCCCTAAGAAAAGAGGAACTAGGCTACTTTTAGCATTGTCAGTGTTCTTCTGGTATTCTAACACCTTCGTTCAGCTGCTTAATGGAAAAATTAACACTCACCTTGCCACTTGAAATGTCAACACTTTATCTAAATCCTGCAAATGTGAAAGTCTTTGAAGTCGAAATCTTGGAAGATGGTCCAACTCCCACTGAAAAACCCTTTCTCCTGTTTTTGCACTATGAAGACATAGATACTCTTTCCGAACAGTCATTAAATAATTCCCTGCAAGTTCAAGTCTATCAGAGTCCTCTGTAGGAATCACATTTACTTCATATAGTCCTGTAACCAAGACAAAAAGATGAGTATGTCTGGTTAGTAAGTCTCTTAAATATTCAGTCATATCCTGTCTTAGTCCTCCACAAACAAGATTCGAACATTGCTTCCTTGGATCTTTGACTGCCTCAGCATAACCCCAGAAAGAGAATTCAAAAGGTTAACATACACTTTTGTCTACCAAGGCTATTATCCTGCTAATGCAGATATGTTTCTGATTGAACTTTTTGTAGGTGAAGTCTAAGTGACAACCAGAAGCACATCTGTAGTCACTGGCTACCAAGCCTTCAAAATTTTAAATGAAATTGGACGAGTACTTGCTCACAGAGGTTAACAATCTCGATCTCAACGATCTTATGGAAAAATAGAGGACTGTGAACAGTTTAGAGGGTTATGTGATCTAGGTTTTCTATAAACTGGTTGCTTATGGTTTTTTAAGAAGGGAGTTGGCAATTTCAAGCTTATGACAGCTGTCAAACTTATCATATTTAGTCACATAGTTGTGACCCAGTGTAGATGCATTAATAACAATCTTCCAAAGTGAACTGTTTGATGTTAAGTACGAAGTTCAACTTTGTATTACACTTACCGTAAATATCTCCTGCCTGTACTGAAGGGTATAATTTTGGCTCCGGAAGAACAAGCTCTTTGATGAGTTGAATCCATTCTTGAGTCTCTTTCTCAGTATCAGCACTCAAAAAAATTTTGATTTCTATTCCAACAAGTAAAAAACTAAAACTATGTGTCCTTGAGTAAGCTTGTGAAACAGATGTTAAGTCCTCTAATGAAATACTAGTGCGATGCTTTCCTTCAGAGCAGGCTTTCTCTGTAAGGTAGTACTCTAATCGAGCATGTCCTCGGGGAGACTTTCGCCTCAAAACAAACCATTTTCTTTTCCAAATCTAAAACAGATAAAATAATTCACACAATTTATGGTAATTCAACAACTTTTACATATATCATAAAGAAAATACAAACTAAGGAAATCATAAATACATTTTTTTAATCAGCTGTGTCACTTCACGTCATGCATAATTTATTTATTGAGAAAGTGCTTATAAACTGCTAAATTAGATTACTTTAGGTAAAAGGCCATAGTCCAGTTAAACTATGAGTGAAACTATGTATTGAGCTACAGCACTTAATGAGTTTCACTGGGTGAACTTTTTATGTCTTGCAGGGAATTAGTTAGTAGATGAGAGGGAATGTAGAGGGAATGTCGAGTTTTGTTTGATTGACCATGACATGGTTTGGTGCCGTGTGAGCTCTTTCTGACATATCAGGAGACATCTTAAGCTCTAATAATAAAAATTTTCAGGAAAAATAATGAAAAAAAAAACAAGGATACATTTATTGAAAAATAACAATAATAATACATAAACATAGACAATGGTCTCATCAGCTGTAGAGTAAACTTGAAGTTTGTCTTTTATCTTAAGCCTAAGGAACAATCAGTTCTTTAAATGAAGATATGATTGTCACAGTGGTAATTGCACAAATTTTGTAAACCCGAAAAAAATTTCGGAACTTAAACGGGATTTGAGAGCATGGCCCCTGTGCTAGCGCTCAACAAATTGGCCTGCTGCCAATGTATGGGTCTTCATGGCTCAATTGGTTAAAGCACTGCAGTGCTAATGCAGAGGCCAATTTTTTGGGGTTAATTTGTGATAAAATGGTAATGAATTGCAAATACCACTTTGACAATCATATCTTTATTTAAATTTGTATTTCTGAAGTTCCCATCATCATTCTAAATCAGTTCTTTCTCATGTTTTTAAAGTCGAAAAAAAATTCTACCCAGTAAATGTAATTGTCCAGATTATCTCAATTGCCAATTAAGTTTTGTCAAATGTTGCAATCAATGTGACTGTACAATAATTGTACAGTCATATTGATTGTGTTGCTCATAATTATGAACAACACACCTCTAACACAATGAGAGATGATCCATATACCATGCTGGGGCCATTGTGATTGTCCGAAGTCTATAATATTATTATAATTTACAGACTGATTGTCATTTGATAACTGTCTAGATCATCTCCGTTAATATACCAGGTGAACTAGATGACCCCTACCATGATCTATTAAATTTAGAATTCAAACCAGCTTTACATAATTCCATGTTTATTATCATTCTCATCATAATGATAAAAAGGATGTCCTCAGACATAATGACTCCATTTTATTTTTTTGCAAACTAAAAAATGAAATTTTAAAGGAATTAACTTCAAGGAAAGTAAGGCCAAAGGCAAATGCAAATGGAAACATTTTAAATTATAGCATATAAGCAAGCCGGGCAGTCAGTAAGATTTTAAGTTGCCAGATATACGCAATTAGCGGTGGGAAATTGAACAGCTATGAAAGATGAAGTCTTTTGGTCATATTTTCCTTTAGTTTCCCACGAAAAATATAGCTGGGATGTCAGGCTCATAATCCCCTACTCCCAGGCCTTACTGACAGCCCTTTACATAATGGGAATGTTTAACTTATTCCTTTTGTGTTTCTTGCTACAGGACATAGTAAATTAGGCACACTTATAACAAGTAGAAGGATCAGATGTAAGAACAGTCACATATTGTTCTTACTTATTCATCAGGGTGCTATTTTCTTGACTTTACAGTTTGACTCTCCTGTCAGCATGATCAGGACTTTCCCAAAAAAGCTGTTTCAACTAAGTGAAAGGCTCCATACCTCTCCCCTGGCCCCTTCATTTCCATTTAGAGGGGATATTTTTGCATATTGTAGCTTAAATAAGGCTAGTTAACTTAGGGAAAATACCAGATGATATTTCATACTTGTCTTGTTGTTTCTGTACATAGTATTACCATAACAGTTCAAGGTCCATTTTCCATGCACTTACCGCTCTTTTGTTTTCCATAAGAAAATTAGAACATAACACCCTTAACAATCTATTTTGGGATCATTCGTCACTTCAAGTACATTACCTTGCCACTCAAATCTTAAATTATGTCTAGGCTTGTTCAAAACAACAAAACATGTGGATATAAACTGGGCATCTGCCAATTTGAAAAGATGTCAAAACAAGTGGACTGCCTGGTGGAGAATCGAATAACAATCTGAGACACCTGCTTGCACAAGTGGCCTACATACAATTAAACTTTACAAGTGAGGACTTTAAAACGGGTCCAGTAACAAAACACAAAAATAATTTGTCAAGCATTTTTAAATCGTCATTTTTGAATTTAAAATGAAAGAATGAGCTATAACAAAATATATTCCATTCATCTGTCTCTAAATTGGTTGATATTGGTAGAGCATGACAATCTTTTTAATTTACGATTTCAAATATAGTTTTAAATTACTAGTATACTGGTAGAATTCACAATTTCAGTTTTACAAGTAAATTAAGGGATGGTACTAAGTAAATAGTGGTGTTTTCATGCAGTAATTTAAAGGTAGAGGGTGGCAGTTAAAACACATCTTGCAAATACTGGTATATTTGATTTCAAAGAAATACAGCATTCTGACGAGTTTGGATTTGTTTGTTCAAACTTGTTTTTGAACCATCTCCTTAGGGGGTACAAATTTAAGAGACAAAACTAATTGCTCAACTTAAACCTTTCCTAATTTGAGACTAAAATGATGCCGTTGTTTGTGCTGAACCGTTACTTAATCTTTTTGCGTTGAACAGTATTGTACAGGGTTGAAAACTTTAGTCAAAGCTGAAGCAGTAATAAAAATCCTGCCACCAAATATTACCACATAGGGCCATAATTTATTTTCTATGTGTACTTTATATGAGAGCAAATTTGGTCTATTTAAGCTTATTAAACTGAAAAGTATTGGTGGAAACTTGTTTAGTTCACTGCTATCTTAAGTACTTTTTCTATGTAAAAGAAATATCGTCTAGCGATCAATATGATGTTACCAGCAATAAATTTCATCCTCCTCGATGTTTACAACTTGTCTGTTATTGTTCATGTTGCTTGCACATGCATATTTTAAATCTTATTCTTAAAACTGCAGGTTTTGCCCCAAAGCAATTCCAAAACGGAACACCGAATCCTTTTCTAACGATATTTATGACGAGAAACGATCTTAAACTACTGCCAAGAGAACAATAAGCGTACATCTTGAACAGATATCAATATACATCGATGAAAAAGACAACAAGTCACGGCTTAAATATAATCCTAGACTTGTTTACACGAAGCCACATTCTCATCTTGGTAAAGAAAAAAAAAGTGACAATGTTAATGATCGTTCCTTGAAGCGTAGAAAGAAGATCGATATACAGCAAAATTCGAGAACTTAGTGAGAATTCTATAAGCCGTCTTCGCACTGAATAAACATAATCTGATACATTTCAATAGCCAACACAACACGATGACAACCATTTGCAATTTGAGTGAAATTGACAAACGCCGTCAACTCATGCAAGGAAAAAAGAACGTTCAGTTTGCCTAAAATTGAATGTTTCGTTCACTGTCCTTAGGCAATAACTAAACATCGACTAGTGAATGAAAAACTACCTCTGTTCAATTCAATTATCGATGAATAATTACAATGTCTTTTCGCAGCTGAAAACCTTGTTTACTCGGCGAAAGCGTTGTAGTGAGGGTTGAAAATGTACGCTCTTTGCCATATATGCCGCTTACATTTGCTAACAGTTTTTTTTTCTACAATATTTTCGGCGTATAGATTGGAAAGACTAAGACTCAAACACTTCAATTGTGTCCAGAAATAGCTGTGCTTGAAATAAATCAGAGTAAACAGTACATTCAACATTACGTATGCACCGTTCATTCATTACGGGGAACGTGAACAGAATTCATTAAAATACTAGGTGGACTTACCAAGAGAAAAAAAGCTACCGACAGCTAAAAAACAGAATTGTTCACAACTAACCTTGTGTGTTAGTTTCCTTTGCTTTCGTGGTAATTTCATCTCCAAAAATCCACACTTGACTAAATCCTCGACATAACTGGCCATAACTTTCATCTTCTACAATATTTTAAAAGCGTTCGCGTCCTCTTAAAAATTTTCTACCACTCACGGAGAAAACGGCAACAAATCGCGGCGATTTACAGTTTGCAGTTAAAAGGTGCAAAGCTGTGCGTATACATCCTTAAATACAAGGAAAGACCAAAGCGAAACCGCTCAAAACCGGAGTTGTTTGTCAACCGAACGCTTTTGTTTTTCTCGCACGCTGTCGTGAGGGTGGGGGAGTGATACACTCGTCCCAATCCCCTCTTAGGTGTCGATAACAATTTTCTAGTCACGCAGTTCACCCCGTCAGTTCTAAATAAAAATGGTTTCTACCACGCAATTTACCGCTTGATTGTTTTTTATCCCTACCAAGTAATGGACTATTTATTTCTCTCTTTCTCTTTTATTTTATTTTGGTTTTTAGATAACGCAGCAACAACAAAATGATGAACCAATAAAGGTGATCTACAACGAAAGCCAGTTTTCCACAGGGTTTTCCAACTGTTTTTAACTGTGACAAACAGGAACTGAAGTGAAGCCGGAATTTCACTTATTATTAAAGTGGCTTTTGTTGCGGTTGTTGACCACATCGCAAATATAAACACTATGATCAAGATGAAGCGCGTTTCAGCATTCCACAGAGCATCCACGCGACTAACCAAATTATACCTGCAACAGTTCGAATGCCTGTGTTTAATGCGATGACTCTATGGATCTACCAGTATTGTTCGTTGTAGGTTTGCCCACAGTTTCGCCCTGCCATCACTTACTTTTAGGCATTTCTAACATCTTAATATTAAATTTTTCAGTCTAAGTGTACCACATTTTCTCTGTTTTTTTCATTCTCTCCCAAGGAATTGAAAAGTGGGGAAAAACAACCACAAGACGGGATGACGTCCAGCCGCCAGCTCATAAACAAAAATGGCCGATATCATCACATTCTCCCGTTAGGCGTTGTCGTTTATTAAACGAAGCTATATTTCTAAAAAAGTCAAAACGGTCCAGGCGGCAAGGAACAAGCTGAACAATTTTCAGATTAGCTAAGCTGTTATCTGAATTTCGGGTTATTTTTACCACAATTCCAGCAATTCGTGATCCGGCCCATCTATAAAAAAGCTTCTAAATAACCATGCTATAACTTTCCACTTGCTTTCGACTCCCAGTTTTATATCACACAACGGAAATCATTAACAAAAACCACAAAAACACTTGGACTGACTTTCAAAACAAAGTACTTAAGATCTTATCACGTGATTTGCCATTTATTTCATTTTATATTGACCAATGTTTCGCCTTTGATAAACACCACACGAACGCCAACAGCAACTGGTACATTATTATAAATTTGCACTAGCCTCTAAGCATAAAAGGTGAATCTAAGTGTTAAATGTGATCAAAATTTACGAAGAAAACCTTCTCTTGGTTTTCATTGCCCAAAAGACTAAAATTTTACCTATTTAAAAAAGCTATAAGATGTTGATCTTTCTAATGTTTTGCCACGTGGATCTAGCCATAGCAATATTTCCTTCAATAATACTATTTTTGTGCTGTTTGCTTTGGGCAGTTTTTTTTAAATTGCTACCGCCCACTCTCAGCGCAGTTTCAGTAACTAATACCGGTAGTAACTTGATTTTAGCATCAAGTTTGAAAACGAAAGAAAATGGCCGAAACCATAGTGGATGACACATATTAAGTGAGCGACTAAAGTGATTTAAAACGCGTCATGGAGGCGAATGCTTTTGCATGCAGAAAGCGGACACCACCTTTTTCAAGTTTAATATTTTTATTTACCTTTCTTTATTTCAACAGTATAAAACATTATACAACCAGGGTTATATCCGTTGTCTTCCGGCGTAATTATAATTAGCGAATGGTTTACGTGCAAGGCTTTCTTCATATATACGATATTAACTTGACAAGGTGTACCCATTCGAAGAATACTAATCCTCGACGATCGAATATTTGATTCAAACGATCTGTGGAACGGCAAAGAGAATTTTTCTTGCCTTGGTTTAATTATTGGCCATTTTATTTAGCATAGAAATGAAATGAAATTTCCGCAGTTTGCATCATACGCTGCGTGTCTTGTATATGTTAAAGCGTAGGTTTTAATTTTAGTCCGTCGTAGGGTTTAGTCTCTCGAGAAAAACCTTGGATTGGGAACTCGTAGAAGATGAAATGAAACAGACAGGAGAAGGAGCAGTTCAGTTAAGCAAAAAAGAAAAAGAAAGCTAAAGAAAAGAACTGAGAAAGATTTTTACAACTGAAGATGAGAACAGGGGCAAATAGCGGGCTGTTGCATGGAACACACACGAAAAAAAAGTGTCAAGGTAACGTCATAGAAAGCTCAAGATATTTTTTTCCGAGGCGTTAATCTGCCGATGATATTGTGCCGAAGAGAAAGTAGATTGGTATACGCGATATAATATAATTACAATGCAGATAAGCACACGGCCTGCTGATAAGAAGCATAATAACCGAGCATAATTTATCATAATATTCCGTCTTTACAGCAATTCATCACTGCCGGATGGCCCTTTTTTGTCTCGATCTCACCCCAAATTTTGGATAAGCATTGTTTTCATTGTTTCAGTTTCGGGAGAGTGGGGGATGGGGGGGGGGGGGGGGGGGGGGGACGGTTTTACCCAGGACAAAAGCGAGAAAAACGGCTGAAAAAAATAGGGGGGGGGCCCAAAAAGAGCTTGGCCGTTACCATTGGGGCAGCAAAGAGGTGAGAATTTGGGAGACCTAAACAACTATTTTAAGATTCTTTGCTAGGGCCGCACATTGCTTCAGATAAAAGATGTCATGCTTTGGCTCGACATCTTTCCTTTTCTGTTGTTTCTTTTTGTTTCCAGTCGTCCACCATGTGTGTGGTGTTGTTTTTGTTTTTGTGGGGGGGGGGGGGGGGGGGGGGGGGGGGGGGGGGGGGGGGGGATGGGCGACTGTATTTACCAAGTAGAAATGGAAAACAACTGCTGTAAAAAATTAGGCGGGGGCGCAAATAAGACCTAGCCTGTGCAGTATGGGCAGCACGAAGGTGACGAATGCTGACAGCATAATAATCGATTTTAGGATCATTTGTCAGGGCCGACAATGCTTCAGTATAAATGAATTATATTTAGTGTCCGACTACTATTTAACTAAACTATTGAATATTATTAGCGGTTAAAGACTTTTTTCTTTGTATTTACGTCTCGGTTACAACGCGTCTCGATCCAATTTTTTTTTTTTGCGCGCCTTATGGGCAAGTCTAGCGATCGAGTACTCCACCTAATACAACAATCAATTGAACATTCCGTTCGTGAGAAATTAAAGGAACGAGTCCAAGGTGTGACGAAGCCAAGCCTGTTCCAGGCTCCAAGATATTAGAGAAAGCTGATCAAGAAAAGTTGCACGAAAACCGCGTAAGTAAAATCAAGAATTAATGAAATTCATACATTAACTGAGAAATTTATTTATCCTTTCTTTAAAACTGCATTTCCAATGTGTAGTAAGTTGGACCAAGAGAGGATAAAAGGCCCATTATCGCCCCTTAGATGGTCGCGCCTTAAGCAGCACAGCCTTGCCGGTGCGAGTGTCGCCGGACACGTGGCCAGTTCGTGGTCGCCCCATCTAATAAAATCAGGATTCTGGTACGCGGAAAACTTTTGCCATGGAATCCAGAATCCAGAAAAAATTTGCTGGTGGAATCCAGAATCCTGGGCTTTGGATTCCGGAATACAGCTCAAGGAATCCAGAGGTTCACAAATGATTAGAATCCGGAATCCACGCCATCGAGGCGAAAAATAGCACACGAACGTGTGTGATCTAAGAAATGACAAAGAATTAACCCCGAGACTTTAATTTAACGACGTATTCTTATACTCCCTGATGGAGAATACCGCCCACAATGCTGCTACAAACCAAGGGAGTAATTACAAAACTACCGCTGTGGACGAACGGCCACACGATCAGAAAACAGTAGTAAAAATGACTTTTCCGCGACTAAGTAAAGACGCATTTCTTGCCGTTAGACGGCTATAAAATTTTTGTTTATCAAGATACTGTTTGCGCTAGGTGAACTCTAACGTCCGGTTCATCGTTCAGATCCGCCGCAGCCTCCTTAAAAATCTCCACTGTGGCTTTGTCAAAGTTTGTAAAACGAACTAGATTGATTGTGCTCTTGGGTTCTGAGCGGAAAAACTCTAAAGCCGCTGAAAAAAGAACCTTTGCACATCGCTTCTTTGGAAAGCCAAAGATGCCACTACTAATGGCGGGAACAGCTACACTTCTTAGACGCCTTGTATGGCACTCAGAAAGAGAGTTAAACAGAGCGTTATGAAGATTGTCATCTTCGTCCTTCTGGCCTCCTTCCCACACCGGACCTAATGAAAATAAAAACAGTCGTAAAATAGACTTCGAAGGGGCACCCAACGTCAATTTTCGGAAAATATCTGTTCGGAAGACGATTTGAGATCTAGAATTTTCGGAACATTTGTTGTAAAATTTCTTGCTTGCCTGACTCTCCTTAGCCTGCGTAGCAGGCGTCGAAAGGGGTAGGGGGTAGGGGATACGTCTAAAAAAGGTATAATTGCCCATTTTTAACGGATTTTTACCCTAAAAAGGTCACCTAGATCTTTCGGGAGCATTTTTCTGGCTTAAATTTTCGAAAAGGTAAGTTTTGATCCCCTTAATTTTCGGATCACTACTTTGAGCTAGGAAATCCGAACAGATGAAAAATTTTTAGGGGATAAAAATACGCCTATATCTACCATTTAAATACTAAAATACGTTTAACAATGCTACGTTTAAGTGGTTTTGAACTATATTGTCCTTGGGTGCCCCGGACTTCGCTTTTGAAAGGTAAGCATTTTCCGCAGGGAGCGCTGCGTATACAAAGTAATAAATTGTGATCAAAATACGTCGGTACTGTATTGGTAGCGAGAAAAAACAGCCAACATTTTGCGACGCCACCAATATTTTCCCGCGAAATGACGTCTGAGATACGAGCGCAGAAATTCCATACTGAT